GGGACCTCTCAATGCAGTGCCAAATCAGACGGACCATTTCTAACTTAATATAGGCTTGAGCTGTAGCTGGGCAGAGTTGCACAACAATTTCATCTGTCATTGAGATATTTCTATAAGCACGGGGAGGAGGTGGATAAAAGGAAATGTAAAATATAGGTAGTGTGGTATAGGTCTTATCACTGGCTGATAATGGTCTATATTAATGCCACTGTTGATTGCTGTTCACTTTACATGGTTCAAATGTTATTCTGTTATAGTTTATTAAATATTATATTACACTATTTGGTTCAGAATATATTTTCCCTGTGTTCCTCCTCTAAAAATTAGGTGCGTCTTAAGTTCAGGTGCATCTTATGGAGCAAAAAATGCGGTATTTCACAGATTGTGACCTAAAGCCAATACCATGTCTTTAGGTCAAAATCAACTGCCAGAGCTACTGAACTTTCTTCCCTTTCCCTCCACTCCAGCCTTCTGCACCAAGAAAAAAAAAAAACAGCTTCAGAGGATTGCCCAGACCTCCAGAGCTGGCAGTGGTGCTAACCAGTGGAGACTGAAGATCCCAAGTCCACTGGTGAAAGCAGTTCCATCAGCAGAATGATTGGAACTGTTGGATATTGGTCTATCAACAGAAAAGTGTTCTTTCAGTCATTCTGTCTGTCTGCATGACTATCTATGCTTCCCAGTAATTACGTATTCAGGGAAGGGCTCCTGGACAGCTCTATCAAAAAGAGTATAATATGAAAAAGATGGAGGGTCAGTGTATGTTACCTCAGTCATCAATATCCATCTGCTGAAAGGAGAAGGGTACAGTGGGGTTGAATATAAATAGAAGTAGGAGGCTCCAAATGTTCAGGAAACCGAATTTATCAAAATTCCAAAGCACAGTAAGGAATCTATTCTTCGTGTTAATGTGTGTAGAAGCCTCCTGCATACCCTTGCCTTCAATATGGGCAAATCAGGAACTGAGGGGCCTAATCTAAAGGAGCATTGAAACCTCAGATAGAAGATCTTCATTGGTAATAAATTAGCAATTCTTAAAGAGACTTGACAATCTGTTTCCAGATTTCACTCTCTACTTGCTGAAACAATCTACCTAGCGAAATTTGGAAACTTAGCCAAACATGGAAAGAGATTGTCAAATATCTCTCTGGGAGTTCTTAATTTATTGACTCAAAGAAGACCACAAAGTAATTGATCTGTCAAAGGCACTGGCTCTTTTTGTGTACATCAAAAGTCTGTATTGCTTTATTGGTGTACTGCTTGACTGAATGTGCGTACAGTATGTGTGTAAAAGAATTATTACCTATAAAATATTAGCAAATGGGGAAGGAACTCCAGCTGGTCAATAGCCTAAATCCTCTCACATAGGTATAAAATGGTGTCAGTTTTGGAAGCAAATTGCCTCAAGTTAAGAAATCACTGTAGACATTATACGTTGCATGCTGCTGAGTCACACAGCTCAGTATATAACAGATAATGTTTATGGAAATGTCTTAACTTGAGGGAATTCTATTGCAAAAGTTACGCTATTTGTATTATGCCAGCATAACTAGGGAAGTGGATGTTTCCTCTGAGACATTAGTCTCCAACTTCGGGATGCTATTATTATATATTGCAGAGTACAGGAAAGAATGCAAACTCCTCCTGAGTCTGTGGTTAGTCTGTCACTTGCTGTGAGCTTCAGAGGAGGGCTTGCATAAGGCCCTTACTTTGAAGGAGGTTAGAACTGTGGTGGAACGAAGCATGACCATTTCTCCAATTGCCCTGTAATCATGGGGCTCCCTCTTAAAGAGCTGTATATTAGTGGGTTGTGTGTGTTTTTAGAAAGGGTTGTTTGCAAGGCTTTGTGCAACACTTTAGTTTAATGTTGTATACTGTACTGTGCACTTAAAGCTCATGTACTTGCAAACTGAAAAGACTTTCACTCTTCTTGTAAAATCTTACCAATGCAAGCCACCTCCAAGGTTCCTTGAAAGGTAGTCCTACAGAGGAGGGGCAGGATCTATTCTCAGTCATTCTCAATAGTGGGCTCAAGTTACAGGAAGCCCGATATTTCAGTTGAATATCATGAAAAACTAGCATTATGGCAATGGAACCAATTACCTTGGGAGGTGGTGAGCACTCCAGAATTACTTCGACTTGGATTCCATCCTTGAGCAGTGAGGTGGACTCAATGGCCTTACAGGCCCCTTCCAGTTCCATTACTCCATAATTCTATGATTCCACTTATATTAAGCATGGTTGGGGGAGTTTTTTAAAAAATACTGACATATAGAATAATCAACACAGGGAGTACATCCATACAGAAAAACAGATGTGCATGTAGAGGCAAGCATCACGGAAAAGGCTGGCAACCAGTCCCTGTGTTAAAGATGAAGCTTTGTATAACTTAGGAAGTGATTTTACTAGAGTTCAACTTGATAATGCACAGCTCAGTGCAGTTCTAAGTACAATATAGGGGCAAATGAATATTCATTTCCTTATGGAAACCAGTGAAGTACTACCATGACATCTAATATTGATGGTGTTGTGATTGAAAAAGGCATCCAGAACACTACAGTGCAATTACCATGGTACAGCCTTAATGTATAGGGCTTGACATCGCAAAATATGGTATAGAAGCACCATGTGGCTCAAATTCTGATTTTTATTTGCCAATTGGTTGAGCTACATGCTCGCTTCATTGAGCATGACAACCTAGTTTTAAGTGTCATTTAATTTTCATTTTGAAATATAATTACAAAGTGTTCACTGTAAGATATCACTCGTCTGCAAATGTGTCAAGATTAATTTGTGCTAGCTTATTCACAAGTGTCAATAGTTAATTACTGTGTCATCTCTGGATGGCTAAATGACATTCTAACTTATGGTTTTTTTACAGCGTTCCTTTATGTTATTTTCCATTAGGGACAAGTCCATATTCCTTACATGTGGGCAAATATTCAAGCACATAAAATACCAGACGTCACAACTCATTAAAATCAACAGAGCATACATAGTTGTATATACCCTATAAAATATATTTAACTCAAAGGATAATTCTAGTTTAATGTCAGATTTCTAAAAACTGCACATTAATTTGAAACTAATGCAGAAGGAACAAGTAGAATGTTTTGTTGTTAGATATCTTATACCAGATAATTTGGAATACTGCTTATCTTTTAGTCCCTACTGATGTTTGGCTGTCTGTGTCTGTGTCTGTATTTGCATATACAGTATTAGTTTTCCTTAAGCTTGTAATAGACAAAGATTATTGATTATCAATAATTGACAAAGTTTATTAAGAAGTCGTTAAGCTTCTTACCAACCAGCATGAAACAAAGCCTAACAAACCGAAAGCCATTTGTCAGGGATTTTGGAACTGATGGGCCCAATCCTTTAAATATGCTTCTGGAACAAGTTCTATTAAAATGAATAAGAGCTTGTGTACCATCAGTTGGGAAGACTGGAATGCTACATAGGTACAAAAACAAAGGATGGGTATTTACCATAGTTTTTTGCTTCAACACAGTTCGGCAGATCAAGCCCTCAAATGTTGAATGGGTGCCCCCGATTCCATGTCCTGCCTTCACCTGCCGGTGTCCCGTCAGAAGCAGTGCTGTGGGCTTCCCTGCCTGCCTCCTCCTCTCAGTGGGTGCCTGCAGAAGGAGGTGGGGTACAGAATCCAGGGTGCCTAACCAACATCTGTGGGCCAGATCTGCCAAACCATGCCAACGTGCAGTAAGTGCCCATCTCTAATACAAAACCTTGACCCAACAGCCTTTCTTATTCATCTCTGATACTGAATAAACTTGTAAAGCAGCATTATCAATAAGGAGAATTGCAGAACACTTTGAGAAAGGGAATATTTACCATGGATTTTTTTTTCAAAGATTGCTGCAAAATACCCATTTTTCATCTTTTTTTAAAGGCATGCATTAAGAATGAGGCACTTTCCACATGTACTACACCTTGTCCATGGTAACGTCCTACATGAGTAACAATTCATGATGAACTGGTATAGTTTTGAAACTAAAGGATCTCTATCTTTTTTAGTAATAACCATTACTCTGCTTAGATTGGATTTGGGTAGTAAATAGGCTTTAGATGGACTTTATCATGTGCTGGGTGAGAAATAAACATTTTCATGTGCAGATGCTTTCTCACTCACCTGTTCTTGCTGTTGGCGAGCAAGGTCCATTTGCTGCCGTTGCTTTTCAATTTGTGATGCCGCCAGCTTTTTCTGTTCATCATGGGCAGCCAAAAGCTGCTCCCGTAAACTTATGAGCTGGGTGATCATGGTAGAAAGCTGTCGTTCTTTTTCTGCTAAGCTTTCAGGTGTACCTACAAGAACACAGGGAGTTGCAGAGTAAATTACTGGTAGGCAGTAACATTAAAACAATATGCTAAGAGATTTTTTATTCTACAAAAGGCAACCTGAATAGTTATTTTTATTAGGAAAGGCACCATTAGCCCCTGTTGTGCTCTTTGCTATATTCTGAAAGACAGAGGTGTCCCTGTAAACCGTGAAACAGAAAACAGACAATTTTTCCCCTTGACAAGAATCATTAATTATGTACTCTGAACTATCAAATCCCTCTTTCCCTTCCATCCGAGTATAATGACTCCTTAATGGATTACCAAATTCACAAATAGATTAACATAATTTTCCCTCCATTATACATTTTTAAACAAACAAAATATAAGACGACCACAAAAAAATCCCTCCTGCTTAATAAGGAAAACAACTTAATTATTGGTGCTAATTTCTAAAAGATATCTAGCTTTCACATGAACTGAGCATGCCACAGAGCACTGCAAGATATGCCTAATTTTCTGTTTCTAAGAAAGTATAGCTAAGTTGAGGCTTGATTAGGAAGATTGAGTGTAAACTAAACCAATCCTTATTAAAAGAGGGTTGTGCCTGGAATAAGCATAATATGAACCTTTCCATTTAACTTAAAATTCATTTGAACAGATTTAAATTAACAGGAAATTGACAATTCTTTGAAGAAACTGGCCTTCTCAATCTATTGGTCCATTCTTTTCCATTTGCTAAATATTTCAGAACATATACTGTACATCTCACACCAGCTGACTTTTTGTAATTTTAAAAAAGAATGTATCAGAAATACTTTGGGTTCCATGCTTAAGGGGAAAAAAAGTTGGTTATTGTAGGTTTTTCAGGCTGTTTGGCCATGTTCTTAAGGTTGTTCCGTCTAACGTTTCGCCAATCTCTGTGGCCGGCATCTTCAGAGGACAGGGGTTGGAACTCTGACAGAGTTCTGACTCCTGTCCTCTGAAGATGCTGGCCACAGAGAATGGTGAAATGTTAGGAAGAACAACCTCAGGAACATGGCTAAACAACCCGAGAAACCTACAACAACCATCGGATCCCGGCCATGAAAGCCTTCGAGAGTACACAGAAAAGTTGTTCACCAGGTTTGTATATGCATGGACTCACAAAAGCAGGTTACTGGGATCCACCACATATTTCTGAGGCGGGGGGGAGAGACAGAAAGTATAGCCAAGGCTGAGAAAGCACACAGACAACTCAGTAGCCAATCTTCCAATAATTTGGATGCCATATGAGATACAATACATGTTGGCTACAAATGCCTGGCACAGTCTACAGTTCTAACCAGCTACTGGAGAATACAATGCACTTGTGAAATTTTACAATGCCATGTAGAGAGAAATAAATATTATCCTGATAATCCAGGAGATGCAGCCAACTCATATCTGCTTGTCATGTGAGCAGGGAAAAAATCAGAAAGCTACATAGATTTCCATTTGGCTAAGAAGCTGTTTTTAATGGTTTTTCTTCCAAAGAAAATATATAATGCCACAGTTTAAAGCTGACTTCCAAATCCTAGCTTGTTTGGAAGCCATTAAACACAGTTACTGGTTCAAACATAACAGGAAGCTGTGATGAGCTATAGTTCCCTGCCTGTTTTTTTTTCTTTTCTTTTTTACTTACTCACTAAAAGGGATGACATATGTGCAAGAATGCTTACAAACTTTAGTGTCCAATAGTCCCAAAGTGAAATATATTCTAAATCAAAATGTATATGCAGAAAAACTCTAACTCCAACTACAAGGAACAATTCATATACAAGAAAAGCTAAGCTTTTATGCTTTAAGGGTACAAGATCCATGACATATCATCACACCTCCCAGTTTAGCCAAGTGGCACGCCGACTGATTTGGAGTAAGCCATTGCCTTTTCTGCTTCACATAGATACAGTATGGAGAGGAAATATACTGAATGAGATAAGCCAGTGGTACCCACCCTTGGGTCCCCAGATGTTTTTGGACTACAATCCCCAGAAGCCTTCACCACTAGCTGTGCTGATCAGGATTTCTGGGAGCTGTAGTCCAAGAACATCTGGGGACCCAAGGTTGAGAACTACTGAAGCAAACGAATGCATGATGTCAAGTAACGGAAATGATGAACAACGGGAAATCCAGATACACCAGAATATCCATAGCAATCACCATTTGTGGCAATCCTTCCTTCATTCCTGTTCAACAGTCATACCTGTACTAGCCAGTAACATAATAGCCATAAAACAAACAACACTTCCAGGCTGCTTTTTAATGGCTGATTGTGCTTTGCATTTACTGGCTCGAATTTTGATTCCTGACATCTCAACCAATCATTTATAAGTGCAGCTCCGCATGAAGTATGTTCTGATATCAAAGTTTTGAAGCAGCTCTGATATCAAAGTTTTGAAGCAGCAACCAACTTAGTTACTGTAGGGGAGCTGGTCCCTTTTTCTGTTTCTCATAGCAAAGTGCTAGCAGTTCTACATCTCCAAAGTGCACAGCCAGCAGGGAAGGTGAAGTGTTTTTTGCTAAGGTAAGAAACTAAATTTTCTAGTTACCTCTGAAGTTACTTTTAAAGGCATTTTGAGAAGACCTCTGCATGTTGCATCTTATTTTCTTACCAATCCCTACTGTCTTCTTTTAAAGTAATGAAAAAGTTGCATAACAGGTTAACTGAGAATTTTTTTTTTTGAAATTCTTTGGAAGAAACAGGTTATATAAACAAAACTGGCCCTGCCTGTACATGTCAGCTCATATGTGGCACTATGCCTATCATTAATTTCAATCTGTACAAAGACATGGTTAACGGTCAGAAACCATTGCCTTCCATAATATCAGGAATCAGGCAGGTAACCCAGTCAACCGGCCCTGACCATTTTCACTTACACGTTCATCCCATAGCAACAAAAGGCAGAGGGATTGGAGTTCAATAACATGGCAAAAATTCCCACAGAATTGTGGAAAGCTGCTCCACACAAACAACAGGAGCAGCCTTTACAGAATGTGATTGTGGATTCTTCGTGGATACTATACTGCTAAATTAGCTGTTTCCGAAGAGGTAACTCTGTTACCCTTTACTTTACTTTATTTTATTTGGACTTGTACCCTGCCCCTCTAGACAAAGTCTACTCGAGGCGGCTTACAGGAGTAATAAAATTCAATACAATACAATACAATACAATAATACAATACAAAGCAGTAGTACCTTGTATAATGCAGCCAGTACAGCACTGATTCACTGTTATTATTATTATTTTATTATTTATTTGATTTATACCCCGCCTATCTAGGCAACTCGTCCATTCTTAAGCACTATCAGTCTTAAACAAACAAGCCTTTCATATCCTGGCTGTATACCCTTATACTATTTATACCAAAGAGAAGTAACATGCAGACTCCCTAGGATCAAAATGTGGTTGCCACATTTTCCTTTTTTAAAAAAAGGCTCATAGAATGCTTGGTCTGTCTAGGAGGTAGAGGGAATTCTGCCATATTTTAGGGCCCATCAGAATCTTTTGTTTAAAATAATTTGTAAGGAAAAAAAGGGGGGGGAGGTAAATACCCTGGGAGTAGATACAGCCTTCCAAGACCCAGGGATGACTGTGTGCAATTCACAAATCCACAATCCTCCAGTGTATACTGAACAGTCTGATTCTGATGTTATTTTGTGATGGGTCATGTTTTGTCAAGACTGTGTACTAATCCCCCTCCACCAATGTCTTTGCCTTTTAGACTTATATACTACTTTCCCCATCCTTTCCTGTTCAGCAATGAGAACAGGTAGCTTACCTCTAACTGTGGTTCAAGTCATATTTCATGCACGCAAGCATTTGGGCCATCTGGTGCCTGTGCAACACTGTTTGGAACCTTCCAGAGCTGAATGTGGATTCTTCTGGTGGGAGCAACACTTCAGCACCAACACACATGCTTAGAGGGAGCTCCCACTTTCCCCTCAGTTATGTGCTCAGCCAAAAGTAGACAAAGCAAAGCATGAGGGACACAGAGTGGTGACAAGCAGAGAGGAAGAAGATGGGTAAGTGCACTGATGACTGCTCAGATAGCCATGGTCTCTTTGACTTGTATGAGGAACTAACAGGATGAGGGGCACTATGTTATTGGAAGGCTGCAGAGAGTTCTATGTAACTGAATGCAGCACATCCTGTCTTGCCCTGATGTCCAGAAGACAGTGTCATATGAAGGTAGACTACTGAGACTATGTTACTGCCACCAGAGGAATCTAACTGAGCCTTCCTATGGGGAATGAAAATGCACATGTAGAATGAACTATAACTAAAGTTAATGGCGTAACTGCAGGCAATTCATAGGTGAGAGTCATAATACTGGCAATTCACTTTGATAGTTTCTGAGCAGATATTGAGGAGCCCTTTTGGTGAACCAAGTGACAGATGAAAAGGTGCAACAAAGGGTGGAAAGGTTTGATTGACTGATCGACTGATTGGTTGGATGGTGGGTTGGCTGGCTGGCTGGCTGGCTGGCTGATTGATTGATTGATTGATTGATTGATTGACTGATATACCATTCCATTAGTTGAGGATTACAACCCCACAAACCTCATATAACAAAATATATTCAACAATATGGTGATTCACAATGTCTAAAATTGATACAAAAAGATGGAGAAAAATAAAATTAACAATAAACTTAAGAACATCTAGGAGAATCAGTTGTTGAAGGAAATTTTGAATACTTTTCACCAATTTCCTGAACATAAGGTGGGAAGGAGCTTGGCACAAATTGTTTCATAGACTGGGGACAATCACCCAAAAAGGTCCAATTCCTTGTTGTCACCTTTGTGGCCTTCCTCATTGTGGCTACTTTGAGCAACATGGACTGAGAGGAGTGGGTGAAACATCTGATTTTTGAATGAGAGATACCAACAAGTACCAAGCTACTAAACTGCCAAGGGATTTAAAGGTTATAACCTTTGTGATATTAGCTTTACAATGTGCAATTGACTTGTCTAAATCTTCAGGCCTTACTAACTGAAATTGATC